CCAACTCTCTCAGCCTTTCTTCATAGGAGGGGTGTTCCATCCCCCTGATCATTTCTGTGGCCCTCCTCTGGACCCACTCCAACAGGTCCGTGTCTTTCTTATGCTGAGGGCTCCAGAGCTGGACACAGTACTCCAGGTGGGGTCTCACCAGAGCAGAGTAGAGGGGCAGAATCACCTCCCTCGACCTGCTGGCCACGCTTCTTGTGATGCGGCCCAGGATACGATTGGCCTTCTGGGCTGTGAGTGCACATTGCTGGCTCATGTCCAGCTTTTCATCCACCATAATAGTGACACTTGCTGTCAATCAGGGGTGTGGAGAGGTCAATAGATAAAGCGAGTCATGTGAACACCCTGCAAGTCAGCCACTTTGACAAATGGTCTCAGCTTGTCAGCAAAGCCTGGGTACTCCTTGCACAAAACACTTACACCAGCTAGATGGAGGGTGGGGGAACAACAAAAAGCTCCCACATATTCCTCCATCTCCCTCAGGAACAGAGTATTTTCTTTGGGCTGGAGTTGGCAGGAAGTGCCTCTTCCATCTTCTTTTCCTCCCCCCCCACCCCCCAAATCCTGCACTGGGTCTATCTTTGTGGCAATCTTGATTTTTTTTTCCCTGATGCAGACTGAATGTTTCTAACAGTCACTCAGCTGAGATGCCAAGTTGCTTTGAAACATTAGATTTTATATCACCCTTTACTAAGGGGTACATGACCCTGTTTCACAGGAGAACACCAGGCAGTAATTTTTTCATATTCAAGTGCCCCTAAGCCATTTACCTACTCAGTTGATTCTACCTGTAGTTTTACTCCAGCATGTTTCCACACACCTGCTTCAGAACTGGAAGACATCTAAATGCAGCCACGCAGCAATACCTCAGTTAGTCAGTCCTACACAGACCCAGTACTTTTTAGCTCAGCATGGCCCCACACTGATGCAGCTTTGCAGCTTCCAGAGCCCCAAACACGTTGCAGCACTTCTCCAGATGCACCCATATGTTCAAAGTTCAAGTGCAATTGCAGCATTAATTCATTTTTTACCTCATATGAGTTTGATTATTAGGATTAAGCAGACTACTGAAAGGTGAGTCTTAAGTATTACAGAGGATTTAAAAAAAATGTAATTGGCCAGCTAATCATTATCTTCCCTTTGTGGAGAAAGGGGTGAAAGAGTCAGACTCAGAAGAGTAGCTTAACTTTTGTTCTTTAAGTTGCCATTTGGACGAGCACCTCTACCACAATACCGAATACTGGCTACGAAGGAGTCTAGGCAGATTCCATGTCCAAAGCAGGATGGCAGGAGCTTATACCAAATGTTGTGACAACCACGACCCTACCATCTCTACTAGCTCTAAACCTACCCTTTTCTAAGTAGGTCCTTGGTGCCCAGGGAGGGTCCTCCTCAGCATATGGATCACTGTACTCCACCACAGCTGCTTCCTCCTCCTCATAATCCTCTGGAGGTGGGGGTGGAGGTGGAGATTCATCCAACACTGGCTCATCCACAGGCGGTGGTGGGGGAGGAGTATCTGAAACTGAAAATAAGCAATAGTATAACCATGGAAATGTCTCTAGAACCATGGTAGCAGGTTGAAGTAATACTTCCTATCCCAATTAGTTGCACTGGGACCAATAGTTAGAACTTGTGGAAATACACTAGAGACAATAAAATTCAGAGAAGGAAGAAGCAGGTTCCTCCAATAAAATTATTTCCTTTTCCCTCTGTTCACAATTTCAGACAAACTTGCAGAGGCAGTAGAGAAGGCAGAATTCTGGCTATATACAGACAAATCTTTCATCCACTCAAAACAAAAGCCACATCCAGTAATAAATCATAGCACAAGGAAGCAGCAAACTTACTGTTTTCTTGAACTCTGGCCACAAATCCCATTAGCGGTAACTGTGGAGTTACCTGTAGGATGGAGGGGGGAGGAGGAGCAAGGGATGCTGCCACAGAAATTAAAAAGAGAAAGGCATTCAGTTAGAAACACAACAAAGCAGCAAACAGGAAAGTAGACATCATCACCACTCAGACAGTGTAGCAGTCTGCCAAGAAGCTGAGACAAAAAGGCTGACATTCAAAGAAAAATGGCTCAGGTGGTTTAAGCATATTCTTAATCCTTACTTCAAGATTTCTCTATTTTTAAAATTTCCAACCCAGCTCTTTTTCATAAGATTAAGAATTCATGCTGAAGTATTTTTCTGATCTGACTATGAGATTCCCTTAAGTTGAAGTTTATTACTACAGCGACATAGCACTTTATGAACAGACCTAACAAACATATCAAGAGGATTCTCTCCCTATAATCCTCCACCTTTCAGATCAAATTGATATTTATAGAGGTGACCTCTGTAACAGCATCCACGAATCTTTAGTAATGAAAATGGATATAACTAGTTTTCTCCAAAACGTAGGCAAAAAAAAAAACATCAAATGAGGCAGTTATTTTAGGCAAAACAGAAAAAGACGCCTTTGTGAACTGAGCATGCTTGGAAGACACGAGACTTCTGACCTTATCGTTAGAACAAAGCGCACTGTGCTGCTGCCAAACAACAGGGCCTATTCCAGATGTGCTGCCTCGTTTCCTTCCCACCTGATTTCACAGACCACTGCACTGAACTCTGAACAGCCCTTTTACTGGTACCAAAAGAGCTGTCTTTGTACAATACATGTGAATTCACATTTAAAGAATATACTATCAGCCAGTTGAAAATGTTATATCACAGAACTGTGGTTTAAACCAGGAATGAAAGTTTCAGTTACCTAGTTAAGTTAAAAAAATAGTTAACTAGTTTTATCTAGTTTTAGTATCACTTTGCAAGAGTAGTGCAGTAATATTCTTTAAGCAAGTTACAAGATTATTTTTCAGAAAGCACACCTCAGGAAAAGCACAACTAAATAATTTTCTTGTTAGTAGTGGCATACAAAAACATTTAGTCATGTCCAAAAGAATGAGGGGAAAAAGGTCTACACTTCATGTACCAGTACATTTATTTAGCTCGCAGAACAGAACTAAATAAATTTCAGACTAATTCCAGAGCTGGTAAGAAAACTGCCAGGTATGATGTAGTATCTTTCAGAATTAATTCACATCATCACAGCAAATGAAAAGAACTCCAGGGCATTTAAAATTCATGTTTCAGAATTTCTTCTGTTTGCTTATTTCAGTAACTATTATCTGAAGTGCTTTGAATTTCTTCTGTCACTCACATTCACGTTCCTTTCACAACCACACACCCCAAACAAACAAAAAAACCCCCAAAACAACAGAGCAACCATCCTTTTTGTTGCAAAATATCCTTGTACCTCTATATAAAGCAAGCTCCATTATCTCACCATTTAATTGATATTTCTTGAGAAAAAATGAAATACATTTCTAATTACAGGTTCTTTGATTCGAATAACATGACCTCTGAGAGTATTTATTCCTTTAAGTGTAATCACAGTAGCTGGAAAAAGATTTGGTCTTGCATTTTTTCAAAGCAGGAAAAGAGAACTTGAAGTCCTACTGAAATGCAGTAATATTCATTAATTCAGCATTCTTGCGCAACTACGAAGTCCCTGCCTTTTTAATTATATGTGCTATAAAAATGTTCAGTTTCAAAATGTTTCCTCTATTCAATGTCATATGGATTCACACAATTCATATTGATCATATGAGACTAGCTTCAGTTTCCTAGGTCCCTTCAGTGTACTTTGTTCATGTGCTATACATATTTCTTTGAAAGAAATAACGAGGCTTTCGATGTAGAAAAATAAATCACTCTAGACAAGCACTCCAAGCAAATACAAAAAAATCCCTTAGTTTAGTTTGTGTAGTTTAATCAAAATGGTGATGCTAACACTAGCTGACATCACTCCTTGTTTATCTTAACCATTTGGTTTGTGCTTCAGTCTATGCACAGTGCAAGGACTATCATATTATATTGACTCTAAGTTAGTTTTGACCTTTAGGAGCCAATACAATAAATATTTTATTAATAATGACTTCGTTTATAAAGTGCATCAGAAGAACTTTACTGTACCTCTGCTGTCTCAAAAGATGAGGTAAACACCAGCTTAAACGTTCCCTCCCAGCTTCCTTCCATATAGACCATTGGTAGATTAAGAGTTCATCTACACAGTTGCTGTGAATTAATTCAGAAATGCTCAAGAGCACCTTCCACTAGATTGCTTCAGCCTAGTAAGAATTCAGCTATACAAATAGTGTGTAGTGCAGACCACCATCTCAGTACTTGCCCAGTTTCTCCCACAGGGTTTTTAGCCTGTGCTGAGCTCTATACTGCTTAGATGCTGGTATCTAGGCTGCAAAGTTAAAACACTTGTTAGGTGTCATGGCTGGCAAGAGTGACTTTGGGACAGACATATGCTGAGATCATTTAGGGTCTGAATTTCTTAATATTTTCTTTTCAGCCGTTAAAAGGGTCTCACCATGAAGTAGAGAAATTATATTATCTTAGAAGTGGCATTCAAAAGAACAGGGCAAGGCAAGTATCTTTCATCCTCCTGTGAAGTGAATAAACAAAAATGACTATGCCAACATACTAAAATACGGAAGTCGAAAAAACAGTACCGCTTTATTGCCAAACAGCCTGCAAAGAAGAACAAGCCATAGCTGGCACACTCCTCTGACTGTTGTAAGGTCTCTTCTTCACCCCTTAAGTTTGCATTTTCTCCCTCTCTTCAGGAATGCTGAGAAGCAATCGTGGCCCCTGTCCTGTCACTACTAACCCTGCTCCTTACAGACACAACAGTCCCTCTGTTCTTAGGGTCTTCATCAATTATGCATGCTTGAGCATCCTCTTCTTTCAAGGTACAGGCCAAAAAAAAACTTAGTTTAGTATAACTGCAAAGCTACTAAATTCTGTATTCTGCTAGGTATATTAAAAAAAGTCTCTTACTACAACTGCTTATTAACATTGTATCAAGTATGCCAGTATAATTGAAGTGTTTTGTTTGTGATTTACAGCTCAAGTGACTAATCACCATAATCATTATCTTCTTTTTGAGTACACAGACTGAATTGTGGTTATGTAACTTATTTAAAGCCTATTTGGCATCTTCGATGATTACCTATTAACAATGCAATGGTAGCTTGCTAGGGTCTTCAATTATGCATGCTTGAGCATCCTCTTCTTTCAAGGTACAGGCCAAAAAAAACTTAGTTTAGTATAACTGCAAAGCTACTAAATTCTGTATTCTGCTAGGTATATTAAAAAAAGTCTCTTACTACAACTGCTTATTAACATTGTATCAAGTATGCCAGTATAATTGAAGTATTTTGTTTGTGATTTACAGCTCAAGTGACTAATCACCATAATCATTATCTTCTTTTTGAGTACACAGACTGAATTGTGGTTATGTAACTTATTTAAAGCCTATTTGGCATCTTCGATGATTACCTATTAACAATGCAATGGTAGCTTGCAGAGAGTTATCCCTTTGCTAAAGCAGAAATGCACAGCAGTTGTCAGAAACTCTCTGGATAAACTGAAAATCTTCTTTACTGCAAAGGTAACCCTGAAAAGTTTCTTTTATTGCTATTACCCTTTCCTTCTTGCCTATTCCCCTTCAGCCTTCAATATGCACAGAATGTGCTTAACAAATACTACATATTTCAGGCAACTGGGCTGCAATTTAGTCATATATCTTCCTCCACCCCCCTGTCCCCAGGAGGACCATCCAATTTCCTTCTCAAGTTAAGCACACACATCTCTCTGCAGGGTAGCTCACAAGCAGTCATATTTGAACCTGATCAAATCCCTTAAATGCAGATTGCAGCATTTGACCTAATTCCAAGTTCGGTGCTCAATTTAAAAAAAAACAAAACCAAAACACCAAAAACCACCACCACCACCACAACAACAAAACACAAATGCACTGTAGTGCTTGCAAGTCAACATTCAATCTTGCTGGTAATAGGGCATTTCCTAACAAGAAACCTTCAGTATGTCTCCTGCATCTTTCTGTTGCTTTGTCAAAAAAGAAAGTTTCCCCTACTCTGGTATCAAAACCTTCACATCACATCAGCAGCACAGGGAAAAGGACTCCTTAGATGAAAAGCTACTGCGTTCTGCCTGACACACAGGACACGCCACTCCTTGTTAATATCTCATCCTGCTTTTTAAGACAGGTCACCCATTAAAATAACATCACCTGTGGACTTGAAGATGACACAGCTCCCTTGCATCCCATACCAAACGCCACTGATGTCTCTAAGGTGTCTAATGCTTACCTTTGTATAACAAGTGCAATTTCTTGAACTGTCCATTAATCAGAAGGAAAAAGCATACAAGATAAAGACTGATTAATGAAGAATCAGTGTTCTGGTGCAAAATCAAATACCCATCCCACACCAAAGCAGATACATGACGTGGTGTAGTAAAGGACTAGAGCTTGTCTAGTAGGGACTGTGAGATCAAAAGTAATTTATTTGGCAACAAAGCCAGTATTGTTTTAAGCTGCTTGCCATAATGGAAGCTGAATGCTCCGTACTTGGGACTGAAGCTTTGGCATGGCTACCAGCAACATATTGGAAATGTTGCTGAGACTAACTGCAAGATCTGCAACGGAGACAGAACATAAGATTTCAGAGGTCTATCTGAAGGCCACTCCATTCACCACTGTGTTGAATTCAACAGAGCAGAAAAACTTTCTTACCTGGGTTCTGGTTATAAAATGGTCCTCCGTTCATCTGGTTCTGAAGGCTTGTCTGTGATGTGATCGAAGGAGGACGCCGATATGGCAAAGATCCCCCTATTGTTGGGGGTGTGTGTCGAGATGCAGGCCTGTTCATGCTGTAGAACTGAACTGGGTGACCTAGGTTAGAAAAAGAAACTTATCAGCAAAGAAAAGAATGATGCCCGCCTTTTTTATATCTGCATTCAAAATTCAAAGGCTTGGAAAGGTCTTTGGTTTTTTTAAGACAGTCTGCATCCTGAGAGCAGTCAGCCAGTTCAGCTGCCAGACTGGCAGGACACTGGATGTCTCAACAGCAACACAAAAAACAACTCTCCCAGCTCCCTATACTCAGCACTGCTCACAAAAGCCAGTGTGAAAATACAAAGGTGTCTAAGCTACGAAGTTTCAAAATGAAAGAAAATAATTCCCAGTTATCCATTTTATATAATGTATTATAATAACTTCTTGCAAATTCGGTTATTTATAAACCTGCAAAAAAATAACACTTCATGGTCCAGCAATTAAGCAATATACACGTACAAACTAACTGTATGCCATTTCCAAGATTCAAAGCCGTTACCTTCCACAACTGAAAAACACAATACTAACTATTCTAGTGCTGTTCAGGAAATATGCAGAGAATCATCTGGGGAGAAGAGAATGTTAGAAACTGCTTGAAGGATGGAATAAATCAAATCATACTCAAAGACACTCTCTCAGGAAGCTGTCAATTGAAACAACTCCTTAAAAACTTGCTCTCCATTTTAATCACTTCCTGTATCAAAGTAATTGATCCTGGATCTAAGCAAGCAATAAATGAAGCAAGACCATTAAGCTATCTTCTGTGCTCACATAAAGTTCTCTGGCTTATATACTGTATATAACAGTATATAAACTGGATGTTATACCCATATGGGTTATTACCCTCCCTAACTATTCTGCCTCCGCCATTTGTGCTAGAGGTAGATTTCACAGTTTGCAAGGGAAGAAAGGATGGTCACTGTGGTTGAGGAGACATGCATGCAGGGAAGTAAATAGGGAAACAGAACAAATGAATGTGCAATTTTTTAAAAACCTGCATTGTTCTCCACTATGTTTTGATTGCTTTGCAAAACTTCACACTAGGTCAGTAAATAAAATGCAAGTTGCTTGCTGTGTTACTTGCTTCTATGAGCAAATGCATGAACTAGAGATTCACATTCCTCCTGCTTTGTACAGGTATGTACATCTCAAAAAATGCACTTTTTACAGATGAGGAAGAACAGTGGGCTGGTTTTGGCTGGGATAGAGTTAATTTTCTTCACAGTAGCTAGTATGGGGCTATGTTTTGGATTTGTGCTGGAAACAGTATTGATAACACAGGGATGTTTTCGTTACTGCTGAGCAGTGCTTACACAGAGTCAAGGCCTTTTCTGCTTCTCACCCCACCCCACCAGCAAGTAGGCTGGGGGTGCACAAGAAGCTGGGAGGGGACACAGCCAGGACAGCTGACCCCAACTGACCAAAGGGATATTCCATACCATATATGATGTCATGCTCAGCATATAAAGCTGGGGGAAGAAGAAGGAAGGGGGGGGTGTGTGTTTGGAGTGATGGCATTTGTCTTCCCAAGTAACAGTTACGCATGACGGAGCCCTGCTTTCCTGGAGATGGCTGAACACCTGCCTGCCAATGGGAA